TTCAAAACAATTTTGTTAGATTGTATTGTGATAGCTGTCATATCAGTATGCATTTCAAAATACTTTTAAAAATTGGTGAATTTTTGTGTAGCCATTTTAATCTTGAAGATGGAAGAAAATATGCAAGATTTTTGGCATATCATGCTTTATTACTTCAAGAAAGGTAAAAATGCAACTGAAACACACACACACACAAAAAGATTTGTGCAGTGTATGGAGAAGGTGCTGTGACTGATCCAACCCGTGAAAAGAGGTTTGCGAAGTTTAGTGCTCGAGATTTCTCACTGGACGATGCTCCACAGTCAGGAAGACAAGTTGAAGTTGACAGTGATCAAATCGAGACATTAATTGAGAACAATCAATGTTATACTATGCAGGAAGTAGCTGACATACTCAAAATATCCAAATCAGTGAAGTTCTTGGTGAAAATGAAAAATGTTTTTTTATATATTACAGAAAAAACTAAATGGACTTTTTGGCTAACCCAATACATGTCTTTATACTTTTGTCCAAACCCACAGAATGTGCACCACCAAGAGTGCACTGTAATGTAAGCTACAGACTTTGGGTGGCATTGCAGGCTCGTCAGGTGTTCCAGATAGTTCCCTCAGTGGGGGATGTTGATAATGGGAAAGCCATGCACGGGAGCGGCTCTAGACAATCTCTGTATCTCCTGCTCAATTTTGCTGTTGACCTAAAAGTACTGTAAATAATAAAGTCTATTTGAAAAATACATATGTAGCCCTGACCAGTGTGGCTCGTGGGTTGAGCTTCATCCCACAAAGCAAAACGTCGCCAGGCAGATTCCCAGTCGGGCATATGCCTGGGTCAGGACCGGGCATATGCCTGGGTCAGGACCGGTTGGGGCGCTGGCAAGGGGCAACCGATCACGGATGTTTCTCTCTCTTTCTTTCTTCCTCCCTTCCCTCTCTCTAAAAGTAAATAAATGGATAAATAATCTAAATATATATGTATACATGTGTACTTTTTAAAGGAATGAAGGAGCGATACATCTCTAACACGATGCACCTTAAAAACACTATGCTAAGGAAAAGAAGCCAGTCACAGAAGACTGCGTGTGGTTAGACCCTATTTCCACGAAAGGTCCAGAGAGGCCGCTGATGGAAGTCAGCCAGCAGTCGCCTGGAGCTGGAGGATGGCTCGAGAGGAAATGGAGAAGTGCTTAATGGGTGTGGGGTTTCTTTGGGGGATGAGGAAATGTTCTAAAATGATTTTGGTCCTGGCTGTACAACTCTGTGAATATACTAAAAAGGATTGAACTGTACACTTTAAATAGATGAATTGTATGATCAGGTGAATGATATGTCAATAAAGCAGTGTTTTTAAAAAGAGTAGAAAGGGCAAGCCTGAAAAGTTCCACTCCCGCATTCCTCCCCCAGGGCGTCTTACTCCCGGGCGGGCGGAGTGTGGGGAGTGTCTGGGGTTGTTGAGTATGAAAGGAAATGAGGGAACGTGGGACACAGAAGGGCGTTTCGGGAGGGGGGGGTTCCGCTCCCATGGGAGGTCGGCACACTAGGGTGGGGGTGGGGCAGCGCCCCTAGGGATACGGTGTGTGCCGCAGAGCAGGGCGGACGTGGTGGGGCGCTTCAGCGAGCAGCCCCAGGTGAGCCCAGCGGCTTGGCGCAGCTGTCCGCTCTGCAGCTGCCTCGCCTCTGGGCAAAACTCTCTGGTCTTTGTGACTGCTCTCATCACAAAACTTTATTCTGGGAAACGGAGCCGCAAGAGAGGAAAATCCCTCTAACCCCACTGGGGCCTCTCTGGAGACCTCCTTTCAGACTGTTTTTCTGCACATCGTACTTTCGGGGTCCATTAGGGAGAGGCCCTAGGAGCTGCGGAGAGAAGTTCCAAATATATGGATATATTTTCACAGTCACTAACAACGACTGTCCAATTTTTGTAAAAACAAAACCAGGGAGGACCCAGGATGTGCTTGCACGGAGAAAAAGACCGCGCGCGAGGACTCGGAGAAGGTGGCAATCTGCCAGCCGAGGAGCGGGGGGGCGGGGCCTGCGGACACCCTGATCCAGGACTTGCAGCCTCTAGAACTGTGAGGAAATAAATTTCTGCTATTTAACCCCCCTCCCCCCAAAATGTTAGTTCTTTTATACATGTAGTGTTCCTTCATTTGCTCGGCATTTCCTCAGCAGGTATGTCGTGAGCACTTCGGCTGCCTGGGTCTTGATCCAAGTGCTGTGGCTACAGCGGAACTGGGAAGCAAAGACCCCAGGAAGGAGCGGAGGGACGGGCGCCGGTGGCTGTGTGGGTGCCGGTGGGCTTGTGGGTGCAGGCGGCCGGGGCGGAACAGGCTGTGCTGCCAGGTCCCAGAGCTACGAAGAAGGGGCTATGGAACGGGCCGCTTTAGATGCATGGGCAGGGAGGGGGGCGTCGAGGACATCAGAGGACCTCCCTGGAAGTCAGCAAGTCAGAAAGAAAGACAACAGGAGGATTAGCCAGATTCGAAATGGCCTGGAAGAGGAGGAGGGCGGGGGGGGGGGGCGGGGGCGGGGGGAGTCAATTACTGTTTTTTAGTTGGGACACGAGAGATTTGTTGATTGGGCTACACAATCACATAGAACTCCTGAGTTACTGTTTTCAGTCATTGCTCCCTGTTTACTTTTAATGGCTTTCTTTCTCTTACTTGACTCATTTTTTTAAAAGATTTTTATTTATTTTTAGAGAGAAGAGAAGGGAGAGAAACATCCATCGGTTGCCTCTTCCACCCCATACTGGGCACCTGACCAGAAACCCAGGCATGTGCCCTGACTGGGACTCGAACCAGTGACCCTTTGGTTCACAGGCTGGTTGGTACTCAGTCCACTGAGCCACACCAGCCAGGGCTCTTACTTGAGTTTTTAAATTCTGATTTTTTGCTGTGTGCCAGAGTGTTGTTCCCTTGAGTAACTTCTTCCTTAGAGAGAGGCGTCCTTTCTAATCTTGGCAGCTCTGAAGAAATGTCTTTCTATTGCCTTTATTGGAAATCAGCAGTTTGCCCAGGCAGAGACTTCTTAGATCACAAACTTCCCCCTCAGTTTTCTAGAACTTCTCGACTTCTGTCAATCAAATGGCCAAAAAATTCAAAAGCCACCTGAATGTGCATCCAGAAGAGACTGGTTAAATCAATCAGGAGATGGCTAGCCAATGAGATACTATCTGTAAAAAAAAGAACAAGGAAGCTATTTCTTCAGTGATGTGGAAAGACCTCTAAAATATACTAATTTAAAAAAATTTAAGTTGCAAAAATGGGGGGTATACATGTATGTGCTGGTAAATGCACAAAACATCACTGTAAGGGAGGATAAATGGTAATGGAAATATACAATAAAATGACAAATAAATAATTTAAATGTTTTTAGTTTCTAAAAAGTCTCTGTAAGGATACAGAAGAAACTAGAAATATTTGTGGCCTCTCTAAAGGGAAATGGGGTAGTTGGAGGGCAAGGGTGCTAAGGAGACTTGTAATTGTGTAAAAAAAACCTTTTGCATCTATTGAATTTGAATCTTGGAGATGTTCTGTTAAAAACATAAATAAAATATAATCCCTGTGCTCTCCTTTAATTTTACTTTAAAAATCAGAATAAATGGCACAACTCGAAGCACTACAAATCACCTGTCCATGTTCGGCCTTCTCTTCAGACAGACTTCTCCACGCAGACTCTCGAGTAGCACTGGGGGAAGCCGGGCAGATCCCAGTCCACCCACGCTTTTCCATCCGTGTGCGGCACAGCCCTGCCCCTGTCTGTGCAGTGGATGCAGACATTCACCAGGTATAGCTTGTATCTCTTTCCACTCTTTCATTGGACTTGACCATCTCTTTCCATGAGAGCACTCCAGTCTTTCTTCAGTCTGGGAAGATTTTTTTTGTTTCCTTCTGTGTTTCTTTCCTCCTCCCTCTCCCTTTCCCTCTTCTACACCTCCATCCATAATTTGGCTCTTCTGGATCTCTCCTGCATGCCCCTCATCTTTTTTCTCATTATTGTTCCTTTATATATTTTTCCTCTGAGTTCTCAGAGAATACCATGGGCTGGTTTTCTGATTTTCTGTTTCAGTTCTTCCCTCCAATATTAAAGCCTTCATGGAGGATTTTGGTTTGGAAATCCTTTTTCATCCCCAAGATTTTCTCTATTCACAAATCATTTCCTCTTTCCAGCTGCCAGTCTTTGTTTTACCAAGGCAATGTCTCTCAAATATCCCTGAGAATACACAGTAGTGCTGCTAGGTTTTTGTTTCTAATTTATTATTGCTACTCTGAGTTACCTGTTGCTCCTGGTGCTCTGCTTAACAGAAAGGGAGGGCTCTTTCATGCCCCACCACCCCGGGGTATGTACAGTACTTGGGGAGTCTCACCATGAGGACATTTAAGAAACTCAGCCCTTCCCTGACCAGTGTGGCTCAGATGGTTGGGCAACATCTGGGAAAGAGAAAGGTCACCAGTTTGGCTGATTCTTGGTCCAGGGCACACGCCTGGTTTGCGGGTTCCTTCCTGGTTGGGGTACATACAAGAGCCAACTCACTGATGTTAACCTCTCTTTCTCCCTGCCTTCCCCTCTCTAAAAATAAGTAAATAAAATCTTATTTAAAAAAAGAAGCAGCAGCAGCAGCACCTCAGCCCCGACCCTGGGGTATGCTCTTGGGAGTGTCACCATAATGACATTTAAGAGGCTCAGGCAGAGACCTCAGGGTCTGGGGTAGGTCAGGGGAACCGCTTTGAAACACTGTCCTTACCATCCCCCTCCCCCCACCAGGGCAGCCCTGATTCCCCATAGGTGACAGTGGGAAGCACCCCTTCCCTCCTTCCCCTCCCCAGCAGCCACTTCTGAGCCTTTGCCCGCTAGGTGTGCCTCAGGCAGGGGGTTGGCCCCAGGGCTTCACAGAAGCTCCTAGAGAAGCCAGGTGGGTTTGTCAAGGTTGCTCTTGCTGGCTCTCACCCTCCCCACCTGTGGGGAACAAGCCACTGGCCCCTCCCACAAGGCAGTTCTGACCTTGGAGAGGGGCTCATGGTCCCCCCAGAACTTCTTTTCGGGTACTGAGAGCTTCTTGGACAGTTCTTGTTCCATGGCCAAGGGGTTGAAGGGGGCTACCATCTGTTCCTGCTGTATCTCCAACTTCTGCCGCCTGAAGAGGCCGAAGGCCGTGACCAGAGCCGCCCAAGGCAGCTTACCCGGGTGGTATACGTCATCAGTGGCTCTGACCAAGGCTGGCTGCACGCTGCATTCCTGGGGCGCTGTCTTCCCACCTTCACCCTGGTTTTGGGGGGAGCTGGGGGCACACGGTGGCTGGGAGGCCATCTTGGAGCCTCATCTGCCAGTGGACATCACCCGGGCCTGGCTGCAAACGGTGGCACCTCGCGCCACGCCCCCGAGCCCAGTCCTTGGATCCGACACGCCCCTCCCCCGCCCCCACAGGCCGGGCAATCTTCCTGCCTTCTCTCATCGCAGAATAGTTACCCCCAGAAAAATGGGCTTCCAGTTCTGAGCGCAAAAGGAACGACACCATGCGTGTGAAACCTGTGACCCCATCCTCACGACCTTGCTTTGCGTCTTCCTAGCTCCCTCTCCCAGGGCAATCTCCGTGTGTCCTCTGCCCCTGTACCGGGTCCCCGGGCCAACCCACTTTACGTCAACAGAGAAATGGTAAGTTAGAGAACAGGCCCTGGATGAATTAAGGTGCAGCAGTAAGGGGTGGGCACACACAATATGTGAAAGCACGAGGGAAACGTGCCACAATGCCAATGAAAATAACAGAACAAAATGCAAAATATCAGGGCTTCTCTGGTAGCAGTCCCATCACCAGAAAAAGGCTGGGGGCGGGGGGACAGGTAGAAATGCTTTTCTTCTTTTTTTTTTTAAATCGTTCTAATCTTTCTGTGATGTTACTTTGATAGTGTAAAAAACCTCTAATTTACTTTTGTCAAAACTCTCATCAGTGCACATGAGGCAGCCTCAGAGCAGAGAGCCGGTGGTGGGTGCACACTCTCCCACTTTGGCCTCGGTGCCTCAGATACATTGGTGACATCTACCCAGAGAGGCTGAATACCTGTCAGGAGGCACTGTGCAGGCCCCTGGGCTCCTGGTTGCCACCTCAGCTGCCAGAGGGAAGAAAAACTACAGGACTGGAAAGGAAAAGATAGCCTCTCTTTTGTACAAGTTCTTAGGAAAATCCACTGTCCTTATCTGAACTTGGCTTTCTTCATAGCAAAACCAGAGAAAAGTCTTCACTTTTCTTTTTTTTTTCTTTAAAGATTTTATTTATTTATTTTTAGAGAGAAGGGAAGGGAGGGAGAAACAGAGGGAGAGAAACATCAATGCGTGGTTGCCTTTAGTATGCCCCCCACCGGGGACCTGGCCCACAACCTAGGCATGTGCCCTGACTGGGAATCGAACCAGTAACCCTTTGGTTTGCAGGCTCAATCCACTGAGCCATACCAGCCAGGGCAAGTCTTCACTTTTCATTTCTTTTTTTTCAGTTTCAGGAAATAAGAAATCAAGAAGGAAATAGAAACATTTTATTTTAATTACAATGTACAGTCTAAATTTTTTCCTTTACAATAACCGAAGTTAAAAATAGAAACCAATTTCTGCAACCTTCCAAGGCAATCTTTGAAATGTCAAGGTTTAAAAAATTATTTTACAGCATGAATTTACATATAAATACAATCTGTACAATGTATTGACTGAGCAATCAGTGGGCTTCCATCATGGAGGAGATCTGGTTTGGGGACAGGCCAGAGCAGAATTCTATTACTGCCTCCTTAGGGGAAAACATTTCAGCCTGGAAAAGGAAGTAATAGAAAGAAGAAAAGTTAGACGTGTGCTGGAAAACCCGACACCTCAGTTTTATTAATGCACCTCTGTGCTACCATACTGGGGTGCAGGGTCTTTTTCACCACCACCAGCTTCCTCACCCGGACCACTGTGACTGGCTATCTGTTCGGAGAAACACAAGTTAGATGCTTACCCTACTCTGTTTGAAAAGAAACAAAACCAAAACTACAAAAGCATGAGAATAGTTTATATACATATGTACAATCTTGGCTTAGGGAAGGCCTTTAAAAGACAAAAGTTTGTAAAAGATACCACAAAGAAAATTGGTAAACTTGAGTGCACCAAAAATTAAAGCTTCTGTACAACAGAGATAATTAAAGTCATATGATAGATACCACAATAAAACACATACTGTGTTTTAATTCCTAAAAAACAGTCAAACATACCTCAGACCAGTAAAACAATCTAACAGAAACCAGAACAATATGAAGGGGTGTGAGCAACCTGTCCATGAAAGAGAACACGGCAAAGGCTCAGACACATCAGAAATGGTGCTCAACTTCATTAACAGTCCAGGAAATGCAGATTAAAATGAGGGGCCCTTCTTCACTCATCACATTGGCAAACATTTTTTATACCATTTATATTTGATATAATAAGGTACTTTCAAAATTTAAACTGATACAGCCACTTTTAAAAACAATTGGGCAGTATTTATTCATTCTAAGTGTTCATACTCTAGACTACATAAAATTATATGATTTATATTAGGCTACATTATATGATTTTGTTACCATAATGGGTAACAAAATGTGTGCGTATGTATTTACGTATATGTGGTTGTGCAAAAAATTCTTGAAAGTGACATGTGAAGCTGACAGCAGAGGTGACTGTGGAAACAGGAGAAGTCTGGGGACTTGGTCAAGGCCCACTTTAAGTTTTATCTATAAGGTAGGAATTTTCACAATGAATATATTGGCCTATTACTTAGGTAATTAAAAATTAACTTTTTAAACATTCTACTTAATATGCAAGTTTACCATTTCTGAAATTTGCCTCAAGCAAACACATCAAGATTTTAATGAGCCTTTGAAAGGCCCCTGAAAGCCGCTGTCTCCCATTGCCTACCGTCTCAGCAGCTCCTGGGGTGACGTGTCTGCAGCACCGTCTTCACTCTGGCTGTCACTGCTGTCGGTGCTCTCAGAAGTACTACTTTTCTCTGATTTTTTATTCTTTTGTTTGCCTTTGTGTTTATGCTTCCGGTGTTTCTTTTTCTTAAGAAAGAAAAGAAAGTTGCTGGCACACACACAGCACGCACTCACACAGGTGTTCCCACCCCCCAATTCACTACAGGACAGGCTAATGAGGCACCTGACTGCTGGAGTCCCTCAAAAACAAGAACGGACCTCCTGTGGAGTGAGCTTTCGCCTAGTACAAAACAGACCAGGAACACACAGCTGTGCACTCTCCACTATGCACCCTCCACTGTGCACCCACCACAGAACGGATCCGCTACGAACACGCACAGCAGAGCCAAGCAGATGTAGGCAGGATGCTGCCTTGATACTTAGTCCCATCTTATCCAAGGTGACCACTGCCACTTCCTGTGACCCTGACTGGTCCATTTTATTAGGCATGTGTGATAAACTACACATCAGGATGGCAAACACCCTGGAAATGCACAAAGAAGAAACTGGTAGAAAATCGGAGAACAGTAGATACACTAGTAAGAAACAAATGAATCTGGTTTTTGAACATGTCAGCACCAACCTTCTTCCTTTCACTGCAAGAGACCTTTCCTCATCTTCTATGCTCAGTTATCCTTTCTTCTGATAGCCAGTAAAGGAGCTGTTTATTGTTTACTCAACTCTACTACTGCCCAGACCACTTTCGGCACCCAACACTAACACTAACTGAATTAAGAGCCTATGCCTAACTGAAAAGAAGACACAGATGATGAGATGAGGGATGTCAACAGCCAACATGCACACCACATACTCAGGTTTTCTTTACTTCAAATGCTAAGCTGTAGACCAACATCTCTATGTAATGATGGCAAGTAGTTGAGAGATGTTCAAAATACCACCTTCATTTAATATTGAATGAGTAATTAGATAAAACTGTTTTATTATTTAATCCTCAACCATTACTCTAAGATACTTAAATGTCCTTTTTCCTACTTTTTAATGCTTACAAATTTTAAAAAAATCTAAGTACAACTGAACAAATGAAAATATTCTGTCAGAAAAAAAACAAAGTTTCTGAAAATCGAGGGTTTACATTTGAATGTCTAGTCCACCCTTCTGCCAAGGTATCAAAAACTCACATGCCCCCCATCTTGGCCGTGAGGTACCCTCTTCAACGGGCCTTATGTGTGACACCTGGGGGCTTGTTGGGATGACAGAAGCAGGGGTGACAGACCCCACGCACTGACCCCAGAACACCCAGACGTCACTCACCTTCTCTTTCTTTCGTCTGTGCTCTCTCTTGGTCTTCTGCTTTTCTTTGTTCTTTTTATGTTTCTCTTTCAGAGGAGCCTCGAGTTTCTGACGAGCATCTGAAACACAGATGCAATCAACACATGACTTACAGGGGGAAATAAAGGTTAAATTATTGACGTGGGAATCCGCCTTAGATGGCATGTTTAACATTAAGGCAGAACTTCTGCCCTGCCTCACTGATACACAAAGAGATGAGCCCATCACAGATGGGCTCTGGATTTAGAAACTGCCAGAAATGCCAACCAGTCTTTTGCCAGATGAAGGTAAAGTCAGATTACAATGCCCAAAGGGCTTTTGTAATGTAACATCCTCGAGTAAGCTCCGAGTCTGAACCTCAGCTCTGTCGCCAGCTCTGTGGTCGCTGGCACCTTGCTCAACCTCTTGAAGCCCCAGTGTCCCCTTTCATGAAACAGGGGTAAGAAGAACCCTGTCTTGCCCTGGCTGGCATAGCTCAGTGGATTGAGCTCGGGCTGGGAACCACAGTGTCCCAGGTTCGATTCCCAGCCAGGGTACATGCCTGGGTTGCAGGCCATAACCCGCAGCAACCACACATTGAAGTTTCTCTGTCTCTCTCTCTCTCTCTATCTCCCTCCCTTCCCTCTCTAAAAATAAATAAATAAAAAATCTTTTTAAAAAAAAAGAACCCTGTCTTCCTAGGGACATGGAGAGGGTTAGACGGAACGACGAACATGCATCCCATAGCCTCCACCTGGAACATAAACGTCAGCTCCTTCTCACATCATTCTCCCTTTATAGAAGACAGTCAGTATGAATTTGTCTTGTAAGTAGGAATGCTAAAAAAAATAACATCAGGGCAACATGATACATGTAATCATTAAAATGACAAGTTGTAGGCACCTAAATTCTCCACCTCCAAATTCTGACCAAAATGTTTTCATGGGTCATTAATTTCCTAGTACTCAAGCCAGCAGGAATTCCAACAGTAGACGCAGTGTTGTCAATCATTAAATCATCTCCTCCCACCTAAAGAAAACTGTGGATATTGTCCAAACTCAGCTAACA